TTTCTGTGTATGGTTTTTAATACAGGCTATATTTAGTTTTTAAATCTATTGTGCTTACATTATGAACAGCATAAAACTGAAATCAAACTATCATTTACACTTACATTCAGTGAATTATAATCTACTTCCCAATGAGTCTCATATGTCAGATTAAAAGCCCCTTTTAAAAATATCAACGTCTAAGAAGGCATTCAACATGCTTTTCATGAATACAACATATTTGTTATTTATTTGTTTCTAATTTTAAGTGTTATGTTTTTAGTAGATTTTAGCAGAAAGTCATCATGATTAAGAGAATTAAAAGTGTTAAAACATCAGCCTTTGTCTGTATAATCTCTATATAATGTTTTTCACTCAGTGATGAAGTTACTGAAATAATTTGATTTGTCACTAATATTCTAATTTATTGAGTAGGTATGTACAATAACATTAATAATTGAATACCTTTAGTATGCTGCTATAAGAATAAAAGATACGAAGGTCTTGAAAATGCATTGAGAAAAATAATGAAAATTTTTCCTATTAAAAAAAACAGTTTCATGAGTTTAGGCTGATTTTAGTTATTTTAAATGAGTTTCATATCTGATATACAATTGATGAACTGTTTCTGCTGAACGACCTGCTGATGAAGCTAAAAACAGGAAATCTCAAACCAAAACAACTTTAATAGTATTCATATTCAGGCTAATATCACTTCTGCTCTTTGAAGAGTTTTTGTACAGCCTCTCTGCTCACATTAACCACAGTGTCTCTCTGGCACAGTAATACACAGCAGACTCCTCTGGTTTCATAGCAGACAAACTCAGATACACAATCTTCTTATTGGTGTCTCTGGTGATTTCTATACGTCCTCGGATATTGCTGGCATAAGCATTTCCTCCACTAGCCCAAATAACACCCATCCATTCCAGAGCTTTTCCTGCAGGTTGTCGGATCCAGTGTGTTCCATAGCTGGTGACAGAATAAGAGACCTGACAGCTGATGGTCAGAGTCTGACCTGACTGCACAGTCAATGAGGCTGGTTGTGTCAGCTGTTCACACTTCACACCTGTAGAAGTAAAATAAAAACAGTGACAGAACAATAAACAACCTTCAGTAAAATCAGTCTATCACATCTCCAGTTTCAGTGAGACTTACAGGATGCAGCAGCCAGCAGCAGAGCTACAGAGAACATGTTGGTGTCGAAGATGATCTGATGGGAGTTTCTCTTCTTCTGGTGCAAATGACAGCATGACCTCATCTTTATAGGAAACTTCTTGGAAATTAAGTTTGCATAAAGAAATTTACAATCATTTCAAAAGAAACATTAAAGATAGATCAAATATTTCTAACCAAATCAATGTGAGG